AGGCTTATTTTGCTCTATCTCTATTATTTACGGAGATATGGCCGTTTTAAGTTTTTGCTATCTTTAAACACCAAAAACCCAGATTTTAAGCGTTTTAACAAGTAAGTGTCTATTTGCTTTGATGTTTTAGACAGCCTGGACTTTTATTTTCTACAATTTTATAATTTTTTGTGTAGTTGCAAGGGCCTAAATAAAAAAAAAAAAAAAAAATTTTTTTAAATGCTTGTAAACGAACTCGGTCCGATGTTGAGTTGAGCTATTTCATCCCGTTTGTGAATTATTCCCGATCCCTAGGACTTTGATATTCAGACCATCGCGGCGATGTACGGCAAACACGAGGCGGTAATGGGCGGTTTCTTGGTGAGTTTATTATTCAATAAAAAAAAAAAAAAACAAAGATTTGTATACGGTATCAGACACCTATACGGTTTTCACAGCACTTGGAAAATAACAATCTGTTCGAGTTCTTCGACCAAAGCTGGACCGCTGCTCTGTTCAACGACTACTTTGACGATTTCCGGAAAAAGTGCCAATTCACCATCGCCAAAAAAATACTCAGCACCGTACTAATCAATTTTCATAACTACTTCTTTACATTTCATCGAACGAAATACTACAAATGATCATCCTCATCATCACAAACATCAGCCGGACTGCGATCGGCACTCGACGGGTGATTGCGACTGTTCGTCCACGTCGGACGAGCTCGTCGAAGAAGTAACTTTTCGCTGCACTGAGCTAAAATTATTACAATGAGCTAGAACGAAAAAAAAAAAAAAAAAACACATGCACACCGCGATCGCAGAGCTCGCTCGACAAACTGAAGCGCGTCCTGTCGGAGTGGCGGAAGAAGGACGAGCAGCCACAGGAGACGGAGGACATGCTGGCGGAGTTCGTCGAGAGCCACGAGAGCGAGCTGCCGATGTACTTGACGCCGGGGAGGAAGAGCCAACTTCTCCGTGAAATCGAGGCGATGACGATTCACCGGTTGGACAAGGACTCCAGTGGCTGCGAGTCGGCGACGTCGTTGGAGGAAGATACGCGATCGGACGTCCTTAAATTCGACGTCTTTTGCTTGCAGGACTAATACCTCGTGCCCGGGTTTTCATTTGTCAATTCATGGGATGTTCACTACTCCGTTAAATATTTGTGATTTTTAATATTTGCTTGCGAAAATATATACTCGTAGGTATAAAATGTAATGCAACTTCCAATTCAATACAAGTCTTTGCAATTTCACGTCAAAAGTAGTTTTGAAAAGTTTTGTTTTCATACGATTTTTTTTTAATATGAATCAAATAATTATTAATCGTGAGTGTGTGAAACGAGTAATTATTCGTTTCGAGTGGCCAAAATCCCGAAGTTTGAAAAAGAATTTTTTTTTAATTTTACGACAGCAAAATATCGTCCTTTTCGCGATATCTGCATTATTTCAGGAGGTATGGCGATTTTTATTTATGAATATCATTATTAGTCCAGAAATATGAAACTTGGAGCACAGCCACGACTTTTTTCGGGCTTTGTGTGGTATAATAAACTAAACTATATAAAACATAAGAGCAATGGGAAGGAGTATCCAATATTTTCGAGTGGCTACAGTTTAAAATATATATTTTTATGTCCATTTTCATTATCACGGAATATCATCCTCTTCGCAATATCTGAGATGTAAAGCGATTGTTTTTTATAATTACCGCAACATCCTACTTTTCGCGGTAGGAGGCGAATCGCCATTTTCCCGAGCGACCGCAGCATCCTCCACAGCGCATATACCTGTACTTGCGGAAAACCCAAACAGAGAGAGAGGGAGAGAACGTTATATATTCAGGCGCTCCAGCGAACAAAGGAGAAACTCTCGCTCCCGAAACAACAGCCCGTGTATACATCATGTGTATCCTACCAATGATCCGCGCGTATGGGTGGGTGGCAAATATTAGAAGAATACGAGACTTTGGGAACCTCACGAAAATCGCGCGACCGCCTCGACATCACCGTGTTTTTCTCACCTCCCATGTTTTTGTAATAGTGTACATCGCCACGTAGACAAAGGAAGGTGGAAAAAAAAAAAAAAAAAAAATATCGCGAGGATCCCTAACATGTAAAATCTGGTTTTTCACAGAGAGATATGACAATGGACCATTGCTACGGAGAAATCGAGGCCTATGTAACGCTGCTCCCGATTTCCCTCTCTCTGGCTCGTTTGCCGGAGAGTTCCGTTTATTAGCATGATTCGCGCGATTCGCAGCGGAGGTACACCTATACGTATATACATACTTACAAATTATAGGTCAAGTTTATATACTATAACTACTGTTGCTTTAAGCTCGAGCGCTTCGAGAGAGTATAAGTCGTACGGATGGAAAGGTGGCGGAGGAGGGATTTTATTATTTCTACTTTTTCCTTTTCCTCTCTTCATCTCTGTACAATATATACAATATATAGGGTGAGAGCAGCGGAGGCGAGCACGACCAGCTGATGTCAGTAGCTTGCGAGCCGCCGTCGTGCTCGTGCAGTTGGTGTTCTTCTCTTTACTTCTTCTTTCGATCATTTATACTTCTCCCTACACAGTTTAGGTACAGTTTTTCCTTACATTTTTATCGAAGGGTATCGTAACCCGCGAGGTTTTTGAACTCGGTTTTGTGCCGATCTCTGACGAGTGATTTATAAATATACAGGTGTCAAACAATAAGAATATCCACGACGGGTGTTGGTGGTGGTGTTTTTTTTTTTTTTTTTAATTCAGTTGAAGTTTCTTCGGTGAAAAATAATCCAAGTCGGCGAGTCGGAGGAAATAAAACGTGACTCATTAGCCGCCCGGAAATCGCGTTGCGGTGCATTCGCATTTATACGCACCTACACCAAACCACCCACGGAAAAAATGCGTCGTTCAAAAAAAAAAAGAGACAAAGTACGCAAACTCGATCGCGACTTTGATGAAATTATTTGCAAAAACCAGTTTTCTCTCTATACTTTTACATTGAGAAATAACATACGTACGGTTCTCGCGTGCGCGTTGGCGCGCAACATATAAATGATCAAACGCGTTGGGGAAATCACTTGCCCTGGAGATTTTTTCAAACGCAAGTGCACACATTTTTGCACACAGTTTTTTGGTCTGTCCGTGTTTTTATGACCCTCGTGGATGCGCAGCTAGTATCAGACTCCACTAAATTAATATCGAGGCGGTTCGACAATAAACCAAACCAATTGATTCTTTTTATGGCATGTCAGTTCTAAAATTTGTCAAAATGGAGTAATCCAATGGAAAATTGATACTAATTATTTTTTAAAAAACCCACCCCAGAGTATCCCGCTTATTCATCTTGTTGTGTTTACAAACGATGAAGGCCAAACACACGGGAAAAACTGAGGCGTTCTGCTTCCCATGTCCCCCAAAAAAAGATTGAAAACATTGGCTCGGCTATGCGGCTGGCTTTCGGAAAAACAGAGCGTTTATATCAAGTTTAGGTCAATGTCGGCCTAACTATAGACAGGCCCGCTTATTTGCAGATTATGTTTGTTTGTTTTGTTTATTTCTTTTTTTTTTTCAACTTGCCGTTCTGAAATAAAATTCGACACTTTTTTTTTTTTTTTTTTTTTTTTACAGAGTAATCCTTAAAAAATGTATCAAACATCGACAAAAAATTTAAATGCCTATAAGTACCCGAAAACGCTGCATAATTTAAAAAAATTAGAATTTTTCAACAGGATTCTCCGTGAATCCGAAAAAATTGTGTTTAGGAGCAGATAAGTACGACAAAAATTCCGAATGAAAAAACGGAAGGCGGTTTCTTTCCTCTGACTTATCGTACCACCGTATCAAGCGCCATTAGACATTAGCGCTACAAGGCCTCCACGCGCCGACAGAGACGCGGATGCGATAATTGTTATGAAAGAGCGTCGGAGGAAAAGAATCTCGATGCGTGGGCCCTTACCTATGCGATTCTCTAAGAGTGCAATGTACTGCATATACATTTGCAATTGGAATTAAGTTTACGTAGTTAAAATATAAATTACTATTAAACATCAACAATGGTCACGTAAAAGTATCAAATTTGGTGCAGAATGTAATCCCTCAACTGTAGAAAAAACTTAAAATTTTTAACGTTATAATTTAAAAAAATGTTTGTTTTTTTTTTTCTATTTTAACATTTTTGTAAAAAAGCTTCGTTATACGATCGATTCATTGTACCACAAAGGCGCATTGGATCGATTAATTTTTCTCATTTCTTTGAAGGTACACTTATTTAGAAAAGTTGAGTCGAAAAGCGTAAAAAAATTTAATGATTATTCCCACTTTTTATGCACGCTAAAGCGTGGGCGTAAGACGTGCCGCGACTGCCAAATTTTTTGGTTAATTGCCCCGTGACGCGTAATATAATTTTAAAATAAAGTTTGAGTCATTGAAAAACGGCTTTGGCTGAACTCACTTAAGGCAAAAGTCGAAAAAAAATAAACGTTTTTTTTTTTTTTACAGCCATGATGAAATCGGTGATGCCGCAGTCGGGGTCGGACGCGACGGAGACCAAGGTGATACGGCTTACGTCAAACCAGGAGGCTGTCTTGCAACAACAGTTCAACAGATGGCCGAAAAATCCCCACAAAGCCGATGTCGTGCTTTTGGCCGCCGAGACCGGGCTATCCGAAGAAGATGTCCAAGTGAGTGTTTTTTTAAAAGAGCGCACACAGTTGTAAGAAAAAATGCACCGAAAAATAAATGGCCCTGGTCGTTAAAAGTCTTTTTTTAGCCCACAATAAATTATATCATAATTTTTATGTATTTCTTTCAGGACTGGTACTCCTTTAAATTGGCACAGCTGAGGAAAGAACAAGGCTTGGGCGGTGGCTTTGGACTAGGGCAAAATTACTGATTGTCGCCAAAATCATGCTCGTCATAGGACAACATTCGACCACCAGCGTGTCAGTATTTTTCTCCGAACAATAAAAAAGAAAATAATACGAAAATAATATATACATATATTATGATTAAATAAAGAAATAGACGAAAAAATACACCACCGTCAATGTTATAATGACAACTGAAGAAAAAACGGTACAAAGATAGTTAGGTAATTTGTAGTTTAATACCTCATTTATAAATTCGTTAACTGAATTGTAAAAATGAAGATATGAAGATGTATTTTTTAGCTCTATCGTAGAATAAGTGCCCAACAAAAACAAAAAACAAAATCACGCCGTGTGTATAGTATACGAACGCTACCGCGAAACTTGCGCGAAGAATAATTCAATTAAAACGTAACTCATGTAATATATAGATGATTAAAACAAGTGCAATTAATAGTGGAATGCAACAATTTTTTACATGCACAACCATTGTATCAGTAAACACGCTTCATACAAAAATTACCGAAAAACAGAGTTTTTTTAGTGCCTAGTCGTTAGCAACGCCGAAAGCGTCAAACTCATGGTCTCATTACGAATTGTTAATTAACGTTATTAGTTAAAAAGTAAGGATATTTTTATGTTAACACGAATGAACGAAAAATAATTTTTTGACCATCGTTTTTAGTAAAACGGTGATTGTGCTTAACATATATTAATAAACGATCGATTTAACGAAAAATTTGTTAATTTTATTTTATCAATCCTAGTTTTCATTTCATCCACAAATTAAATTCGTAGTATTAATAATTATAGGTTATTGATTGTAAAAACACCTACATTGACAATACCAATACCATATTGAAAATAATTCAAATAGTATATATATGTATAGAAACTGCTACCACAGTACGTATACGTATAACTTTATTTATCTGCTGTGTCAGTTAGGGAGGGGATGGAAAATAAATAATATATTTTTGTGAACTGATTCAACAGTTTTTATTTTTCATAGAAACCTAACATATAATTATAAATAATAACCTAAACAACCTAATATATAATTATAATTACAATTATCAATCATCTTTTATATTGAAGATCGAATGGTAAAGCAAAGTACGGAAGCCAACTTTCGAGCTAATCATTAAAGACATCCAGTGTTGAGAGTGAGAAACGTATAAATTTTCGCAATTAAAAAAAAAGTACTTTATATTTGGCTTCAACATTCGTTTTTTTAAGTATACAAAGCAACATTTATTAAGCCAGGCGGTGGAACCACGTGTAGCTTTAAAATATAGATTACAGTTTTAAATAAGTTTACAAACATGATCAAGCGAACTACAGTATAGAAAGACAAAACAATAACAAGCAGATTATATTACAGTGTTGGTACGGTATAAGTATGGGTTACAGTATAAACCAAAGGTACATTGGGATATTACCGCAGGTAATATATTAATCAGTGAGAGCATAATGTCAAAGCTAAAATTATGTGTATGGTTGATTTTTGGTTCAGCCGCGAGGTTTTGTGCAGAAATCGAGTGATGGTAGTCACTGGTAATAAAGTGGAGGTAAAGATGTGAGCGAATCAGTCGTGAGCTAAACAGTTTGAGGACAACGAGTTATAATTTTGGTGATAGTCTACACTCGGAGCCGAAGGCATGTTTAAAACCATCCGTGAGGGATGAATCGAAGGTAATTTGGTGCAGTCGAACCATAAGCTGGGAAGATTGTACGCGTAAATACTGTCCAAAAAATTCCTTTCGGAAGGTACTAGGATACTCAGATCAGTGTGAGAGCTTGTCAGAATATACTTAGAGATGAGATGGGGAGGGTAGTTATTTGTGAGCCAGTACTGAAAAGGAGACTGTGCCCAAAACAAACTCTTTGCTAGTTGTTTTCTGAGCGTAAGCGACAATGCACGTTCCCAGTGTTTGAGACTGTAAAGTGAACAGTAGACGTAAGTACACGTGACACTAGACCGAGTGTCCCTCAACTCGTCGGAGGGGGTCACGAATATCTGGCCGTCTAGTTTATGTCGCATGTTTACCAATTCATAGGAGTACGAAGATCTATGGGGCCATTTTACATTACTGCATGTTAATACAGGTGTACTAAATACTCAATAGATGAAAGACGATGGCATATCGTGATGGTGAACAAGAAAATCAAATATGGATTAAAAATGAAAAAGTTGGTGTTTATGTGTACAGTTACGACTTTTACAAGTTGCTTTTACAAGTAACTAATTTTTATCATAATTATTGTATGATTTTATCGTGTAGTCACCATGTGATGATGGTTTTTAGAAGTTTAATCACAAAATCCGATGATGTATCTTTAACATCGAGAAAACAAAAAAAATTATTTTGAAGTAAACACCTTCTACGTCATGGTGGTGAAAAATTCCGTAAAAAATTGTGATAGGATTTTTTCAGTTAAAACCTACCAAGAACTAAACGAACGAAACTACAGGAAGTTAAATTAATAATTAAGTCATCCAAAACCACCAAGAAAATGTGGACTCATCGAAGCAGGGGTGAGAACCCAAAAGAAAATATAGGGCTGAAACGTCGTTATCGGTCCACTATTATTTGAAAAATACGAACATAACGATGCGTGGAGGGGAGTTGTAGCAGGATTTTAGTATTATTAAAATGACTGGGGAAAGACCCCACGTTATTTCAGCTGCTGCGAAAGACGTCGATGGTAGGGTTTTCATCATAAAAACCTACCAAAGTGCTGAACCAGCCAATCAGGGGTCTAAGGGTCCCAATAACTCCGAATCGACCGCTGAAACGTCGAGAGATCGACATTCAACCTCCCAAGGTAAAAAACATTTTTATAATCATCATTTATATCCTTTTTTGTTGATGAAAATATTTTTAGATTGGTGATCACTGCATGTACGTCTTGAATAAACTAAATTTTACAAAGCTATGAACTAAATATTATTAATTGTGTTGTTGTAGGTGGGGCCTCATTCTCGAGGCAGTGGCTTCCGGATGAACCTGAAATTGGCGGCAGGTGGCTTAACAAAGTAACGAATATAAAGAACAGCCGCAACTCAGAACAATTATTAACAATATAAAACAAGTATTTAAACTTTACTTGATGCCAGTATATGGCAAATAAAAAAGTTGTAAACAAATTGAACAAAATAAAAATATCACTTTCCTATGTAGAATCGTTTATAATTCAGCCCAGCATGATCCCAGACACTTGTTATTGAAACTACATAATTTTTTATTGGTATGTTATAAAAACACGTTCATGCAAACACGGGTGAAAAGTTATAAATAAATTAAATAGGCAAAATATCGACTTTAGTGAAAAATCCCATATAACTTGACTCGGCATGATCCTAAATACCTAAAATTAAACATACGTACTCTTTAATTGGTATATTATTAGCACATGTTATCGCCAACATGGGTGAAACGTTATTTAAAAAGTTATAAACTAATTAAATAGGCAAAATATCCGTTTTCAGTAAAAAATCGGCTATAATTTGGCCCAGCATGATCCATGACACTTGAAATTCAAGATACATACTCTTTGATTGGTATATTATTACCGCTTGTTATTATCAACACGGATGAAAAGTTAATAAAAAGTTATAATTATTTACAAATACTTAATTTTATATAAACACTTTAATTGTTAATTATAAACATTATTTTTTATATTTTTACATACTTATCATGTTATCTGATACAATAAAAGCTTCAATCATTACCCTTATGAAATCATACTGATATCTTTTTTTAATCATTAGAACTTGTGTCACCGAACATCATATGAAAAATTATTATTATATAAAAAATTTTTTACATAGCTTATACAAATATACTTTTGTGAACTTGTTAAAAAATGACTACATGAAATATAGTCGTAACGCGATTAGGCGAAAAGTGCGTAATGAATCCGAAATTTACGTTTATTTTAGATAAATATTATCATTGATTTCAATTAATTTCAAATTTCATGTTTCCAAGATTAGTGGATGATGCCATTAGATTATTGTTTTCTATCGAAGGCCACCACCTTGCTCAGAAGCATTTGCTCTTATTGTATAAATAACATGCGTGAAAATCCATCTGGAGTCGTTTCACTAGAGTTAGATTTATTCGATTGAAATTAAGCTGAAGACAATATGCGTTTAAAAATTGTTGTTATTATTATTATTATTATTATTATTATTAATATTATTATTTATAATATTATTACACGTAACTCTAAAAGAATGTACGTCATCTTGTGTTGTATAGAAGCGCTGTGAGATGTACCAAAAAAAATTCTCTAAATAATTCGGTGCATATAGATTAATCATTATTATTGTTCATAATGTATTCAATTGAAAATTATCAAAGGAAAATAAAAATTGCATAATCCAAAATTGATGGTGAGTTTTTTTATGTTTTTCGTGAATAAAATTCGTCAATTAATTTTAGTACACATTAACGAGATCAATATCGCTGGATCAAGATTTAAAATTTTTTTAAAAATGTTTACCTCCAAATCCGCACAGTTTACAAATGTTTCTAACACAAGACTTCACCTGAGAAATTACACATAAAATTTTCCCGAGGTAAAAAATGCATGTTTCTATTTATTGTGAAAATTTTATCAATAGCACCTCATTGGCAACATACATTCAAGTAAGCCAACCTTCTTGGTTCCGCATATCGTGTTCAGGGCGGAATGCAAGTGTAGATGTAAGAACGCGCAAAACACAAAACGGGGGTGCAACCGAAATAAGTAGCGCGTGATATGGAAGAGAGAGATAAAGGCGTCAATAGCTTTGCAAAAATTACCGCGGTGCGCAGCACAGAGCGCGCACCCAAAAAAAAAAAGGAGAGCTACCAATGCTACCATCACCTGTATAGAGAATAGAGACACCCAAATCGCGGTGGCGCGCCGATCGACGCGGGCGGCTTTTGTTTTTTGCTCGCAGCATTTGCAACCGTCAGCGACCCGCGCGACTGCACCCAGCCCCGCTTTTCCACCATTTGCCGTTTTTTCTATACAGATTTCGTCGACCGGACCAGTGTGTATTGTCGTGATAAACCATGTACGCCCAAGAAGAAGGTAAGTCCAGCCGTGAGGTATTTTTAATCCGATCCCACTCTCACCCCCAATGTCACTGCCAAGTGCGCGCGTGCGGGCTCTCTCTCTCTAAACTTAAAAGTATTCCCCGACTTTGCTCAAATTGAATTACTTTTATACTTACACCACCTTTTGACTCGCTCGTTTGTTTTAATGCCACTCTCTCGCGTGTAAAAAAAAAAAAAAAAACACCTACACGTGCAGTGGACGGCGATCGGGGAGAAAACAAACGAGCGCCGATCCACCGCAGCGCGTACAGTGGCTTTTGCGAAAACCTTGGAAATTTTGGCGCATTTTCGTTGCGTGCCAAAATCGTAACGCGGACGAATGTTTTTTTTTTTTTTTTATTTTCTTTTCCCAACGGTTATAATTGTACATGTAAATCAAAAAATGGGTAAAACGATCGACGCGCGAAGCAGATTCGTGCGAGGACGAGGCGGCCGGGGAGGAAATATCGTCCAAGATATGGCAGGAGGCCTGCTGGATCGTGATAAACGCGTACTTCGACGAGAAGGGCCTGGTGCGCCAGCAGCTCGACAGTTTCGACGAGTTCGTCGAGATGACGGTGCAGCGGATAGTCGAGGAGTCGCCGGCCCTGGACATACGGGCCGAGGCTCAGCACCGCACCGGCGAGGTCGAGACCCCGACGAGGCACGTCGTCAAGTTCGAGCAGATATACCTGTCCAAGCCGGTAAACAAATCACTATTTTGCCCTCGATCGCGTGACTTAACGAATTTCAAATAAAAAACAAAAAAGACATTTTGGGAACGGGACGGCGCACCCTCGGCCATGATGCCCAACGAGGCGAGGCTGAGGAACTTGACGTACTCGGCGCCCCTGTACGTCGACGTCACCAAGACCGTGATCAAGGACGGCGAGGAGCCCACGGGTACGTACGCGCGTCCCATATATGGTGCAACAAATATACCGAGAGTCACGTTTTATTTGTTGGCGCGTTACAGAGACGCAGCATCAAAAGACGTTCATTGGCAAGATCCCAATAATGCTAAGGTCGAAGTATTGCCTTCTCTCCTGCCTGTCGGACCGCGACTTGACGGAGCTGAACGAGTGCCCCCTCGATCCGGGCGGCTACTTCATCATCAACGGCTCGGAAAAGGTTTGGTTGGCCGTTGTTGCCGTCGATTGCCGATTTTTCGAGTCTTTCTGCATTTTTTTAAGGTGCTGATAGCCCAGGAGAAAATGGCCACGAACACGGTCTACGTGTTCGCGATGAAGGACAGCAAGTACGCCTTCAAGGCGGAAATCCGATCGTGCTTGGAGCACAGCTCGCGCCCGGTGTCGTCTTTATACGTCAACATGATGTCCAAAAGCGGCTCGGTAAGTGGTTCGCGTTACACTGCCATTGTTCCCCCGTTGTATCGATTGCAACGCGATCGATCTTTTGTTATGGTCTCTTTGAACGTGTCATCAGGTGATAAAAAAAACGGCTATCGGCCAGCGCATCGTCGCGATCCTGCCCTACGTGAAACAAGAGATACCGATCATGGTGGTGTTCCGCGCCCTGGGCTTCGTGGCCGATCGCGACATACTGGAGCACATCGTCGCCGACTTCAACGACCCCGAGATGATGGAAATGGTGAAACCCTCCCTGGACGAGGCGTTCGTCATCCAGGAGCAAAACGTCGCGCTGAACTTTATCGGCAGCAGAGGCGCCAGGCCCGGCGTCACCAAGGACCGACGAATCAAGTACGCCCGGGAGATACTGCAGAAGGAGACGCTGCCCCACGTCGGCATAAGCGACTTTTGCGAGACGAAAAAGGCGTATTTTCTCGGTTACATCGTGCACAGGCTGCTCTCGGCCGCCCTGGGCCGCAGGGAGCTCGACGATCGGGATCACTACGGCAACAAGCGCCTCGACCTCGCGGGCCCTTTGCTCGCGTTCCTCTTCCGAGGGCTGTTCAAGACGCTCTCGAAGGAGGTGTGCCTGTACGGGCAAAAGTTCGTCGACCGGGGCAAGGACTTTAGCCTGGAGCTGGCGATCAAGACGAAAATCGTGACGGACGGCCTGAGGTACTCCCTGGCCACGGGCAACTGGGGCGACCAGAAGAAGGCCCACCAGGCCCGAGCCGGCGTTAGCCAGGTGCTGAACAGGTTCGTAGATCCATCGTACCGAGAGGGGAGATCGCGTAAACAGAGCCGACTCGTTCGTTAGGCTGACCTTCGCCTCGACGTTGTCCCACCTGCGCCGGGTGAACTCGCCGATCGGCCGAGACGGGAAAATCGCCCGGCCGCGTCAGCTGCACAACACCCTGTGGGGCTACCTCTGCCCGGCTGAGACCCCCGAGGGCCACGCCGTCGGTCTGGTGAAGAACTTGGCCCTCATGTCGTACATAAGCGTTGGCTCGCAGCCGTCGCCGATACTCGAGTTCTTGGAGGAGTGGTCCATGGAGAATCTCGAGGAGATCGCTCCGAGCGCCATCGCCGACGCGACAAAGATCTTCGTCAACGGCTGCTGGGTTGGGATTCATCGGGATCCCGACCAGCTGATGTCCACCCTCAGGTAGGCAAAAGTGTAGTTTTGTTGCTTCGCGATGGTGATTCATCCAGGATTGTTTTACATTGCAAGGAAGTTGAGGAGACAGATGGACATTATCGTGTCGGAGGTGTCGATGGTGCGCGACATCAGGGACAGGGAAATTCGTATCTACACGGATGCCGGGCGGATCAGTAGGCCGCTGCTGATCGTGGAAAATCAGCAGTTGCTCTTGAAGAAGAGCCACATAGACATGCTCAAGGGAAAGGATGGCGACAACGCGGGGTACGTTGTGTTACGAGACAAAAATATTATTATTATTATTATTATTATTATTATTATTAATATCTAGGTGGCAAGTACTGGTAGAAAGTGGTGTGGTGGAGTACATAGACACGCTCGAGGAGGAGACAACGATGGTGGCCATGTCACCCGAGGATCTGCGCCAGGACAAGGACCAAGCGTACTGCTTGACCTACACCCACTGCGAGATCCACCCGGCCATGATTCTCGGTGTTTGCGCCTCCATTATACCGTTCCCCGACCACAACCAGAGCCCCCGAAACACCTACCAGGTGAAAAGTTTTTTCTCAGTTAAAAAAAGAAACTATATGGTCGTATGATATTGTCACAGAGCGCCATGGGCAAACAAGCGATGGGCGTTTACATCACCAACTACCACGTGCGGATGGACACTCTCGCCCACGTACTGTATTACCCTCACAAGC